AAGTCTCATTCCTTAATTTCAATAAATACGGCTTCCAGGAATTTTTAAATTAGCATCTTTTTTGACACTTTTAGGTTATACGAAAATGTTAGTTTTAACTCAATACTCTTTTTCTCAATATTTTTCTAATTCAACCCATCGATTATTATACATCGATTTAAACAGAAAGCTTTAAGCTTCAATTTAAAATAAGTTTTATTTCTTAATTTCAATAAACACGGTTTCCAGGAATTTTTGAATTGAATTAAAATTTTATTCCAAAGGCCTTTACTGATTGTGAGTGTATTTTGATAGCGTTTTAATTCTGTCTGATTCTGTCACAAAGTTTCAAAATGTTTGACTTCTTGGGACGCAAAGGGTTAATAAGCGAATAATCAGTGGTTGTTTCCATTTAAAAAAACGAAAATTCTCATGATATCTCAAAATCTAAAACCGAAACATTTTTTTTGACTATGTCATGAAATTCTCTGTAAAAAAGTGTCCATATAATGTCTCTAGGGGAAAAACAAAAGACGATAGCGCTTAGGACATCGAATTTGAACCATCCTGTACATAAGATTGAGCCGGTTTCGAAGCCGAAGTCGTTTGTGGTCGTAATTCATTAATAAATTTTTATTTTTAATATTTTAGAAAAGACAGAAAAATGGCATTGATTCAACTTCCAAGTATGGACGAAGCGGTGATAGCACTGATAAAAATGCACAATTACCAACTATCAGAGTCCAACCACCTAAGGGTTTCCTTCTCGAAATCGAGCATATAATAACGGGGCAGCGCCGAGGCCCCTCAATGAAGATCGCCTGACGTGTGACCTGTAATATACAAAAAAAAAATTATTAACTCAGTATTCATTCCAGCGGGCCGCAAAACGGCGAGCGGCTAGTTGACGCTTATTTATTGTTAACGAAGAGTTTTTTCGAAAAAAATAATACATAAAAAACAGTACTCGCAAAAAATAACGTGGACAAGAACAAAAAATAACTTTAAAAACAAACTGACATACACGCATATTTTAAGAGGTTTACTACAAGACACAATCAGTATATATATATAGATATAAATATGTTATGATAAAATTATATATACATGGAAACAAAAAAAAAAAAAAACGGAGTTGAAAAAATTAAATACTGCTTAATTGTTTTTTTATTTAGACGTAATTTTTTAATGTTCCGTTCGTTCTAATTATTAGTTTAATTATTAGGTTTAAGTTTACACAGTTTCATCGTTAATAATAATTTGATACAATATTCCGATTATTTAATTTGTAAACGAAGCGATGAAATTGCGTTACAGTATTTCGAAAAGCTTTAATATTTCCGTAAAGCTAATTCATAAAATGTGAACAAAACAAGAAAGCAGAATGGAACTGTTTATTTTTTTTTTTAATTATTATTAAATATGATTTATAAAGTTATAAAGTAATTATATCAACCTAGTTATCACTTTTATTATTTTTAATTTTTTTTTGATAGTATTAAATATAAATCGGGACTGTTCATTATGATTATTAATATATAGTTTTTTTTTAAACAATTCACAAATTGTTCCCTGTCCATGTCGACAGTCAGAGTAAATTAAAAGAATAAAGAACCTAAGCTAAGTTTAGAATGTTAGTGTTATACATGAATTTAGCCAGTGTAGAAAAGTACTACAATCTTAGGGTATTATCTTTACAGGGTCTTAGACGTACCCTAGACATAATGATTATTTAAATTATTATTATAAAAGAAGTAAAAATATTTAAAAGAAAAATTTAGATTGGGAAGAGCATAGATCTGAGAGCGATCGTTTATTACACAGGTTTACAAAAGATTGAACAAAACTTTGGATATTTAAAGAGTGTTTTTTTAAGTATTTTTATACATTAATCAATCTCGTTTTAATGAAAAATGTTGAACAAATAAAATGCACTTAAATACATTTATCTTTCCAATTTTAATTAAAAAGTATTCATAATCAGCATAAAAAATGACCTTAAAAACACATTCTTGTGTCCAAAATTGGGTAAACTTGTGTTATTATTAAATCAATTAAAATGTATTATCGTTGAAAGATTTTTTTAATATTATTAAAGAAGACGCGAATTATTTCACTTCTTCTGAATCTATATTTCAGCATCTTTAACAAATCTTGGTAGCTCGAAATGTGTGCTTTTAAAAATGAAGGTTTCTAAGAAAAAAGAAACTTTTAAATTAGAAGCCTTCATAGCGCACTTATTTGATATTATTATTATTATATACTATAACTTCTCTATATATCTATATACTATACACTTTGACAATCATAAGAAACAAGCATGGGATCGTTTTTGAGCATTTCTGTAATATATAAATTGTAAAAGTGGGAATAATAATGATTTAAATAATGATTTTATTCGTTCTTTTACAATTTATTGCATTGCGGTATTTAATATGTGGGTGATCGTTTTTTAAAAAGAAAAAATATAAACAATGGATATCTTAAATAATAAGAAAAGTAAAATCTAAAGCGCGTTTGTTTTTTGAAAAGATTCTACGACGTCATGAAAGAAGATAAATCAACAACCACGAAAAATAATACATATTGATTATTATTAATAATTGTTATTATTGTTCGGTACATATCGCAAGGTTGCGTGTCTATATTTGCCAAAATTCTCAGAGTCAATATCTACAACATGAATTTAACAAATAAAATGTGTGGAGAAAATAATTACAAATGAAGATGAAAAAAGATATATTTTTTAATTGTTGTCTTTTCATATCTATGTATGTTAGACCTAAGTTTCTTCGGCTTCTCGAAATACCTACATATTATTATTATTATTATTATTGTTGATATCATTGTTTCATTTATCATTTTTCTTTCCGTTTAACTTTAATTATTTTTTCATTGCTTCTCAGGATTAGCGTACTATTATTAAAAAAAAAACTGTTCTAAGGTTTTATTTTTTTTCTCTATTTACTTATAATAGTTTATTATATTTTTTCGACATTTACGTTATGAATTTTTGCCTTATTTGTCTGTATTAAATATTTTCTTATTATTTCTTTTCGTTTTATTTATACAATTTTTTTTATTTATTAATAGGTAAAATATAATAATAATTTAAATTTAATTCCAAGATATAAACACCAGATGTCACGGTATATTTAACAAGTTTAGTATTAATTTTTATGAAAAAAAAAATTTTAATATACAGGGTGTGCAAAAAAAAGTATGGAATAATGGTTCTACAGCCTAAACTTCAAGTTATATCAAAAAAAGTTTCAAATAAAAGTTACTTGACACTATTTTCCGCATATCTCGGCGTAGAAATAAAACAAAAATGATGACGGCAGTCTGAGTTACGACATGGTGGGTGTGTTTTTTAAATGGAACACCTGTATATTTTAAGGTTTTTGGATTCCTTTTGACAAGGTGTTGCAAAATGCCATAAGGTTTTAATGCTTTAAACTGCATAGTTTTCGAGATATTGAAACTTTTAGGAATAGACAACCTAAGTCTTGACGTCACAGGGATGGGCGGAGCTTATACCGACTCCAAATATCTTCGTTGCTAACTTTGTTGCTAACGGTAAATCACCATATGCGATTTTTCATTAGTGTTAAAATAAAATAAACTAAGTGATGACATTTCAAATGACATTTTTTGGTGATTTATCGTTAGCAACGAAATTGTTTGGAGTCAGTATAAGCTCCGCCTATTCCTATGACGTCAACGCTTAGGTTGTCTATTATATAGACATAATAGACTGCCTAAGTCTATCGCTACGTCAAATCTTTTAAATAAAAGTTTCAATATCTCGAAAACTATGTAGTTTAAAGCATTAACCCTTTGTGTCCCGACGGTACTAATTTTAAACTGTAGTTATCTATTCGGCACATTTAGAGCAGTCGGTACTTTCTACTATATTATTATACATCATTTTAAAGAAAAAGCTTTGAGCTTTAATTTAAAATAAGTTTCATTCCTTAATTTCAATAAATACGGCTTCCAGGAATTTTTAAATTAGCATCTTTTTTGACACTTTTAGGTTATACGAAANTGCCATAAGGTTTTAATGCTTTAAACTGCATAGTTTTCGAGATATTGAAACTTTTATTTAAAAAGGTTTGACGTAGCGACAACCAAATTATGACGTCATTATGGAATAGACAACCTAAGTCTTGACGTCACAGGGATGGGCGGAGCTTATACCGACTCCAAATATCTTCGTTGCGATTTTTCATTAGTGTTAAAATAAAATAAACTAAGTGACGACATTTCAAATGACATTTTTTGGCGATTTATCGTTAATCGAAATTGTTTGGAGTCACTATAAGCTCCGCCCATTCCTGTGACGTCAACGCTTAGGTTGTCTATTCCATAATGACGCCATAATAGACTGCCTAAGTCTATCGCTACGTCAAATCTTTTTAAATAAAAGTTTCAATATCTCGAAAACTATGTAGTTTAAAGCATTAACCCTTTGTGTCCCGACGGTACTTTAAGGTACCAGTAGTTTTAAACACTAATTTTAAACTGTAGTTATCTATTCGGCACATTTAGAGCAGTCGGTACTTTCTAATATATCATTATACATCATTTTAAAGAAAAAGCTTTGAGCTTTAATTTAAAATAAGTTACATTCCTTAATTTCAATAAATACGGCTTCCAGGAATTTTTAAATTAGCATCTTTTTTGACACTTTTAGGTTATACGAAAATGTAAGTTTTGTTTCAACATTTTTTTTCTCAATATTTTTCCAATCCAACCCAACAATTATTATACATCATTTTAAAGAGAAAGCTTTGAGCTTTAATTTAAAATAAGTTTCATTCCTTAATTTCAATAAATACGGCTTCCAGGAATTTTTAAATTAGCATCTTTTTTGACACTTTTAGGTTATACGAAAATGTAAGTTTTGTTTCAACATTTTTTTTCTCAATATTTTTCCAATCCAACCCAACAATTATTATACATCATTTTAAAGAGAAAGCTTTGAGCTTTAATTTAAAATAAGTTTCATTCCTTAATTTCAATAAATACGGCTTCCAGGAATTTTTAAATTAGCATCTTTTTTGACACTTTTAGGTTATACGAAAATGTAAGTTTTGTTTCAACATTTTTTTTCTCAATATTTTTCCAATCCAACCCAACAATTATTATACATCATTTTAAAGAGAAAGCTTTGAGCTTTAATTTAAAATAAGTTTCATTCCTTAATTTCAATAAATACGGCTTCCAGGAATTTTTAAATTAGCATCTTTTTTGACACTTTTAGGTTATACGAAAATGTAAGTTTTGTTTCAACATTTTTTTTCTCAATATTTTTCCAATCCAACCCAACAATTATTATACATCATTTTAAAGAGAAAGCTTTGAGCTTTAATTTAAAATAAGTTTCATTCCTTAATTTCAATAAATACGGCTTCCAGGAATTTTTAAATTAGCATCTTTTTTGACACTTTTAGGTTATACGAAAATGTTAGTTTTAACTCAATACTTTTTTTCTCAATATTTTTCTAATTCAACCCATCGATTATTATACATCGATTTAAACAGAAAGCTTTAAGCTTCAATTTAAAATAAGTTTTATTTCTTAATTTCAATAAACACGGTTTCCAGGAATTTTTGAATTGAATTAAAAACTGATTGTGAGTGTATTTTGATAGCGTTTTAATTCTGTCTGATTCTGTCACAAAGTTTCAAAATGTTTGACTTCTTGGGACACAAAGGGTTAAAACCTTATAACATTTTGCAACACCTTGTCAAAAGGAATCCAAAAACCTTAAAATATACAGGGTGGTCTATTTAAAAAACATACTCACCATGTCGTAACTCAGACTGCCGTTTTCATTTTTATTTTATTTCTACGCCAAGATATGCGGAAAATAGTTTCAAGTAACTTTTTTTAATATAAGTTGAAGTTTAGGCTGTAGAACCATTAGCTTTTCTAATTTTTGCATTATAGGTGCTAAAGATTTCATTTATACAGAAAGCACACCAAATATTACATATTTTTTATTCGAAATTAAGCCGACAAAAAAAATGATAACAATTTTATAAGATAATTAATAATAATCATTGTATTTACTGAAGTCCAATCAGTAAATGAAACGACATAGTTGTAAAAGAATATGA